ATTTAGTACCTCAGCTTCCATCACAAATGTATTGGGATAACTGGATAAGAGACTCATTATAATTGCCTTCTCTGCAGGAGTCAGCACCCCCTCCCCATGAATATGATAAGGTGCTCCAAGTGCCACCTCACCTGCAAGTGATGTTTTTCCCTGAAGACTCACTTCCCACAGGCTACAAGCTGCTATTGAATTTCTGAAGTAATATTTTAATAACTTAATTTAAGATTTAACAGCTTTCTTTTCTGTGCTTTGTTGTATAATTAATCCATGTGATGGGAACTCATTAGGCTTGGGGATCTGAGATGCATCTGGACATGCAAGGGCTGTAAACAGCCCTAAAACCTGTGTTAGGGCCTATTTAAGGTGGGCAAATGCAGAGCTGTATGCAGAAAAAATACATTATTTTATCCCTGGGGGGTGTCAGAAACTACTTTTTGATAGTTGGATATGTCTTTCAATCATATTTGTAGTTTGTAATAATAGTAGTAAAACCAACTAATTTTTGTCTACTTATTTAAGTGGACAAAATTTAAGGTGGACTCCTTGACTTCCTGGGCTGAGAAGATCTGGTTCAATGCCTTCAAAGATCATCTTGCATGCATGTGTGCATACCCATGAGCTGTGGGCACTTCTGCCTCCTGAAAACATACCTCAAGCAGATACTGCAGAGACACTTTGAGCCTGACATTAAACAGTCCACCATGGAATTTTGTCCCTTTTGCTTGCTTAGTGCTGTGCTGCTGTGTTTATCACATGGAAGAGATGAGACCTGTCACTGCCATCCTTGATTGCTGAAAGAACTGAAGCCTTGGTGTCCCACTTCTCCAGAGAACACTGCAACTGCAAGACTTCCATGAGGTTTCTTGTTTCCTGCTGGTAGTGCTCTTCTGTTTCGATATGACTCAGAGAATGCAAATGGGTCTGGCCCTAAGCACTGATTAGAGCACTTGCTTAGGTTTAATGTCCAAGACCATGGTCTGGATTAGGCAGAGCAGAGGTTTGAAATCCAGGAAAACATGGCTGAGTGAGCTGCCCATTTACCTGTAAGCATGAGTGTGGGGGTCTCATTTCTTCAGTTTGCAGTGAGAGCTGCAGAACCCAGCGCCAGGGGACGGGCTGTAGCAGAGAGCACCACGGCTAAGTGTGCACACAAGTCTGCCCCACTACTGAATATTTCCCCCTTCTGCACATCCCTTTCAAGGGTGTGCTGCTTTCTTGACAAGCTGAGGAACAAAAGCATAGAAAACACAAAAACAAAACAACAGCATGAAAGGAGTAACACCTTTGGGCATCAGGGATGTGTTCCTCACTGTGTGCAGTGCTGAGCTTCCCAGCAGAGCACCTTTTCCCCACTGGACATGAGCAACAGCTCTAATGAAAGCTTTGTAAAGGAGAGCGCTGCTAGCTGCCTTCTCCGGGAGCTGGATGAGTTGTGTGCAGAGACCTGTTTTCCACAAACAGGATTTACATAAGCACTGCACACATTTCTCTGTGTGCTGTCAGGGTGCCTCGATCCTTTTCTCTCTTGAGGCTTGTCTTCCTCTGTTCAATTTCTGTGGTGAGCCAGGTACACTTGTGTACCTGTTTTGCTCAATTACACCTTTTCCATGGATGTGAGTCATCTATTTCATGGTCCAGAACATACTCATTTCATTTCCTCTGCCCTCTGGTTATTGAGTTAATTAATACTTTGTAAACATCTCGAGACCTCATCACACTAACCACTGTACAAAGAATAGGGCTTGTCCCAGAATGATTCTTCTGAATAGGACAGGATGGAAGAAGCTCAGGAGAAAGGAAAAAATAGAGAGCATAGACTTCTATATGGTTCTCAATTCTTAATAGTCCCAGTTAATTCCTGCTGACTGACTAATTGCAAGCAACAAATTCTGGTTTCAACAGGGACTGACCACAATTCTCAGTGACCTGGGGTGAGACAAATGATCCTCACCGATTATTTGACATAGGTTTCTAGCAAGCTCCAGACCCTTCCAACACAATCTGCCAGATCTTCCTGACCAAAGGGTGCTTTGAGTTCTTAATTTCAACTGGACTTTGGATCTGGTGTTTGGGAGAGACCTATGTGGTTGCTGGCCCTGGCACACATCCAGCAGCGTGTTGTGGCTGACAGGGACAGTCACTTGCCCAGAAGAAGCCAGGAACTCCACTGAGAGCAACAGAGATGCTCAGCAGTGGTGGTGATGTGCCACTGGCATCCAAGGAGGGGTCTGGAGGAGGAGGAGGGCACGAGGGGCTGCAGGCCCAGAGCAGAGATCCCCCTCAGGCAGCACCTCAGCTGGAGCAGAGACACTCCTGTAGCCCAAGGAAGGGCCTGTGCCAGGACAGGGAGAAGGGGAAGGAGGGAGGAGCAGCCAGGAGGGGCTGGGAAGGACTCACCACAGCTCATCTCCACTTCTACACCTCCTGGTGTCATGGGGAAAAGGAAGGAAATGTTTGTTTTATTTTTATTCTTTCTTTCTCACTATTCAAACTTATTTTATTTGACAATAAATGTAATTTTCCCCATTATGTCTGGTTTGCCTGTGACAGTCATGGGTCACTGATGTCGCTGTCTTAATCTCAACCCACAAATTTTTCCATCTTCTTCTCTTGCTCAGTAAGAGTGAGAGAGCAACTGGAGGGTTGGGGCCCTTGCCCCAGAGAGGACCCAGCTGTGCAGTCTCAGGCTGCAGGGTGCTCCTGACGCTCCTTTTCTGCAGGTCTGTGCTGGTGAAGCACCTCTGTGACCAAGGCAAGGAGCTGCAGCAGGGGGTCAGCACACTGTGGAGCTCCACAGATGATTAAAAGGAGGCTGACTGGATGCTCTCCTGGGTACAAGGGGAGCCTGACCCTCCAGCTGAAGGAGGGACAGGCAGTCTCTGCTTATTGGATTGGAAAACAGAGAATGGTCCATTCCTGTGCACAAGAAGCCAAGCAGAGGTGTCATGGATGATCAAGAGGTCCTTGCAAATACAAAAAAACTCCACCACATAAGTGGTGAAAGGCTGCTTTAAGAAGTCCTCAGTCTCCATAATTGGAGTTATGAAAAACAGGACTGGATTCAGCCCTGAGGAAGCTGCTGTGTCTCGAGCACATGGGTAGATTAGAGGATCTCCAGAGGTCCCTCCCACTGCTATGGATTTGCCATGATTATACAAGTCTCCTATTCCCTGTTCCCTTCCTTTCCCCTCTAGCCCTTGGGCACCTTGCCCTTGGCCACAGGCACTGCCTCCTGCCACAATGCAGAGGTCTTTGGAAAAAAACACAAGGCAACCACTCCCAAATTGAAACTTGGGCATCTTCCTTTGCAATGACAATGTTAGTGGTTGGTGGTGGGCAGTAGGATTTTACACAGTATCTTAGAGACCTGAGCAGAATTTCAGGACAGATGAAGACTGATTTCCTCTTCTGCCTAGGGATGATGGGGATTCAATCTTCCCATCACTTCCAGATTTTTGTGGGGTGAGGACCTTCATAGGTGTTGTACTGGAAGTAATCCACAGTGCACTGAAGAGGGAACTGAAGAGAAAAACTCACTGTATAAGTCCAGTGGCTCAGAGCAACCAGCCAGGAGTGCAGAGACCTCGTCACAATCCATGTCCCTGTATATGCATTTTATATTACCCTATTTCTAGCTCAGATATGTTCTAACATAAAAGGGCAATGCAAATGTCCTTTTCAAGACGCTTCTTTTTGGTATCTGATGTTACATACATTCTGGAAGCAGCCACTGGGAGGGAGATCTTGCTTACTGGATCTCCCTCCCTATGGGTACAGGCTGTGAGAGAACTCATGGACTGCTTTGCTTTATGTACCTGGAGAAATTTCAGGGTAAAAAAAAAGGCCCAGAACCTCAAGAAAACACCATGGTGAGTAAGTAAACAGACATGCACAAAAAAAACCAGGTCAAATTATGAAGCTTCAGAGTTCAGTGCTAGGGGATAACTGAGCAGTTTCACATATTGATCCAGTCGCCCAAATCATGTTTTTGGTTCTGTATGTTTTCAAATCTAGTATTAGACACTTGAAAATTCAGGCACTCTTGCAGTGACATATAGCACAGCTGGATGCCTCCTACATCTTGTTCAAAGTCACCTAAGTCCGTACCAGAGCTACAAATTCGATGTTATGGTAGATTCACACCTGCAGCCTTAAGCCTTGAAAGCTGCTGTCTCTGATATAAAAATTTGTCTCACTTTCTCACACCTCTAAGACAGCTGTCACGGACAGCTGCCACCCACAGACGAACTAAATCTCCACTGATACTTTCAGCAGAAGTCTCATCTTGTTACAGCTAGATTTCCTCACGACGTTTCACTCAAAGAATTCTTGCCAGAGCTGACTCGGTCCTTTTGTGTGAGATTCAAATCCTTGTGGTCAGGATCTTGAGGACAAGTACAGTTTGTTGGTTGTTATCACTGTTTTTGCCATTGTGAATATGCATCCAGTGGAAGGCTTTAATGAATTAAGAATGGTTACCCTATGGTGTAATATTTCACCACAACACACAACCCTTGTCACCTTGATTAAGAAATGTCCCTAAGCCTAGTGTGGGTAGAACAATGATCCCACACCAGCCATGGATGTGCCATGAGACAAAACACACAAACTGAACAGTTGTACAGATTTTCCCAAAAACTCCCTGTGAGTTCTGTTCTCTCGTTTCTCCCTCTAGCAGACACTACATCTGTTCCTTCAGCAGTTGCTGGCAGACAAGACAAGCCCCAGTGCCAGCTAATACTATATGATCTGCTGCTGAATTAATTTTCCACTTAAAAATTAAATTATGGGCCAGATCCTCATTGGATTTAATACAGCTATCACCTATTAGGCATCTGATGGTCTGGCCTTGTATAGAGATTATTCTTCCTCTCTCTTTGATTTTGATTTGATGTGTGAAGGCAGTGAAAATATTGTTTTGTGTCATGAGAAATTATATATTTTTTCAAAAAGCTAGAGAAAAACATGCCATTCAAAAAAACAAGGAAAAGAAAGAAAGGTTGTAAAAGATACTATAAATCTTTTATTTCTTTTGAGTTACTATGCAATGCCCTTCATTTTGAAGGAAATGGTACAATCAATGATGTGTACTTCTTTCTCAGGAAAAGAAGATATTTGCACTAACAATTCAACATTTACTGACAAAAGACAGCTTACAGAAAATGCTCATGGTGGAAAAAAATCATATTTGTGATTACACTTCTTATTGTGGATGATTTCATAAAGTGTTACAATGTCAGGAATTTCAAGTGTGCATTTAAAGAAAGTTTCTAATCCAGTATTAATGCAAAGGAATTTAAACCATCTAAACCACTGGTGCTCAAAATCACCCTGATTTCTTCCTATTCACAGTTAAAGAAAAAGCCTAATCTGAAAGTCTAAGCCCATGATACAATACTCCTGGCCTTACCACTGCACACTGATTTTTAAGAGTAGTCAAGCATACTCAATTAACAGTAGATTTCTTACAAATAGAAACTGCTGTTGGAAACAATGTATTTCCTACCTCTACTTAGTTACTAGTCTCTGATCTCTTATACAAAATTAAAATTTTGCTTTCAAAAAATATTTGTTCCTACATGGCTGTTAGCTTTATGGTTGAGGCTGTTAATTGTCAGAAAAGCACAGGAGGGAAACCACTCGACAACACACTTCACATATCCAAGGACAGACCTTTGGTAAAACTTAACCAAAGGAGAAGAGAAAAAGAAAACCACCATTACATTCAAAACCTGAAACAGATAATTATACAATATCACCTATTATAGTACTGAGTGGAATAGTGAAATCAAATGAACAAAAAGAATTTGCCTAGGGTTTCATTTATACAAAACAATTTAAGGTTTACTTTCATAGTCTAGGGTCCTTCAGTCTGAAGAACGTATTTTTCCAAGTAAGAAAATAGTTTTTGAAGTAGCTTTTGGGAATTTTCCCTCCCTCTGCAACTGCCTGCCATATTGGCCAGAGGAGTTCTAGGGTTGCTGTAATCAATACCTTGCATTCACACAGAATCAGGGATAACAAAATAGTCTTCAGTTTATGTCTTTGTTCACTGCCATGGAAGGTGAATGTCTAAATTGTGTTTTTAAAATTACTCAATCAACGGATAATTGTAGGTTTTACTAGAACGCCTTTTCCAAGGCATTATTTGCATCAAACACACCAATACTCCAGGGAAATAAGACTGCTCATCTACATTTCCTAGCTGGAGCTACATTTGCACATCTGGGGCTCAGCCTTGCCAGTCTTCACATGTGCATACTGATATTCACAGCAGTAGATATGCCCAAATGAGCAAATTCATATAGATTAAGTGTTTGCACAATCAAAGGGCTTTTAAAATAAATTAAATTAACTTTACATGTTAAAAATACAAGGGAAAGTTCAAGCATGACAAGACAAAGATACCGGAGAAGTCTGCAGCAGATAACAAGCTGAGCTTACAACTGCTGCAACACACCTCCCACCAAATCAGTGCAGCTCCCGGATTTCCAGGGGGAAACTGAGGCCAAAGTTTGGGCTGGGTTCCACGAGCTCTGTTTGGACAAGAGGCCCTTTGAGAAACAGCTTTCACTGCACTACTTGTTCTCCCCTGTTGATTATGCAACCTCAGATCCTCCATGCTCCCACCGGAGACATCACATTGAAATTCCAGACCCTTGTTCATAAAGAAATGTAAATATACACTTAATTTCAAGCTCAAGAATAGGCTTACTGATTCTCAAGTGGCCTCAAGTAGGTAAGGTCTACTCAAAACTTTAAACTCAACATAGGCTTCAGACCTTTGCTAAAGCACAAACTCTGCAGAAGGATCCCACCTGCATTTCTCTATGTTAAAGCAGATGCAGAGAAGAGCACTTTTATCTGTTCCTTTCTCCTCTCTTTTGTGATCTATGTAAAAGTCCTGAAGTAGACACATACACAAAAGAATTAGTTTTCCTGGGAGATTTCTTTTTTTTTAAATCAAGCTCCAGAAATGCCAGCTTACTCTGCTGACAGTAACTGAGCAAAGTACAACAAAGACAAAAAACCAAGCAGTTGAGATGTTTCTGCAGCAATTTCTGTTCTCGCATCCAGGTCATTACAGGTCCATGGCTTTAAAACTAGACTGCTTAGAAATGTGTGCAGTGGTGTTTAGTAGCACCTATTAAATAACACCGCCTAATCAACAGGTAGGGGAAAAGAACCTGCCTGTTAAAGATTCAACAGTTGCATCTTTATCTGCTGGAATAAGAAATCCCTGGATGGAGGTAGCCCTCTTTCAGAAAAAAAATTTAAAATGCCAAGCTTTCCACCCTCTTCTACTTTTACACATAATGGAATGTCAGGGGACAATAAATTCCCAAACATAGCTTGCAGGGAAATTTTAAGATTCCAAATATGAAACATCTGTATCCCAGGTGTAAGAGGAACACAGAGGTTTTATAACACAGCAGAATGCATGCCAAACTGCTGTGAGGCAAGCTCCCCCTTCACTCTCTGTCCTAGCAAAGCACTGCAAGCTCTGGAATTCTTTGCTAAGGCTTTGTGCCTGTGGGGGAATTTATCCCAAAAGGCATGACCGGTACAGAGAAGCACCAAGACAAGCACAAGACAAGATTTCAGTTGGTCAAAGAAGCTTTGCTCTCCATTCTCAAGCAGATTTGGTCCTTCTTTAAATTAAAACAAAAAAAAATCAAACAAACAAAACAACAACAACAACAAAAAAAACCAACCAAAAACAAACAAACAAAAAAAAACCCCAAGAAACCAAATCAGATTATTCAGGATATCTCAGAAGGAGAGAAATGGCTAAGTTTATAGTTCTGATGTTTCAGACACAAGGGAAAAATATTTTCACAACTAGTTTACTGTTTTGTACCCTGTAGATACATAATATTTGACATTTATAGCAGTTTCTATATTTTATGACCTAGAATATACTTTAGATCATGAATGAAAAATAAACCCATTCAGAGGACTGGAAAATAACGTGCATAACAATTTACTTTCAAATGCAAGGTTATGAAGGGTTTTTTTAAACTTCCAAAAATATCTCTAGGAAAATATTATTTTACATAGCTATATTACACAGTGAAATAAACTTTGTTATGTACAAGGTTTCAGTATGAAAGAAACCACAGCTAGACATTTGCTCATGGTCTAGATAATCTGTTGTCTTATAACAGTCCGAAGTACAACAGAGAGACTCTCCTTCACTCTTTTTCAAACTGTCTCAGTGATCATTTCAGCTTTAATAGTTACTAGTAGTTGTATAAAACCTGTGTGCAGACATCCACATATTAACCCTATCACAGACAGATATGGGTAGATATGCTTTCAAAACAAGGTTAGACATCTGCTGAACAACCACAGTAACCTGAGTATAACTCAATTGCATATTGGTGAAAAAACCACACAGTGCAGGCACCTGAGCTATAGCATTCTAAAGGAGCTTGATGTTAAACTTTCCCCTGGATTTGGGGGTTTCACAGGCCAAATGCTAGCTTGTTTATTTCAGGCAGAAAACATGACACCACAACCCACTTGACTCAAATTGGCAAAGTTGCTTCACATAATCTCAACTAATCAAAAGCTTGTATCTACCTATTCTTAAACAACAAACTTTGCTCTTGTCACAGGGGTGGAAAGGACATGGCATACTTTGCTATTTGTGGTATAACTGTAAACAACTTCGGGGAAGACCATATAAATTATGCTTCAAGTTTACATCACACTGTTAGTTTCCATTATTGAAATGAACTCAAGCTTATCTTCAAGCTCACATCATCATACTGAGTTTTAAGGGGAAGGAATTTTGAATCAGAAACTGCTTCCAAATCAGTGCTTGTTCACACACCCCAGATCCCAGGACAAAGATTTGACCGTGCTGCCTCTGCGGTAGATCGGTTCAACAGCTGAATAAAAGTTCAGGGAATATTCAGGACAGGCAGCATTACACTAGACCTTCGTGAGGGACTTGCACAACTTTGGAGGCATGTCCTCTCTTCTAATGCTATAGCTCAGCTGCATACATAGAAATTAGCAAAAAATGGAAATATGAAATCCCTAATGAAGAGGAAACTGCTTTGGAACACCCAAGCCCCCCTGCCTGTAATGTCTTCCAGCCTATGTTCCCTTCTATCACAGCTGTGTTCACTGTGGTGCAGAATGCTCACTGCCAGAAGCACCTAGCCAAGAGGTCACCCTCTTGAGGGACAACTTACTCAAGACAAACTCTTACATATGAACAACCTTCTTCTACTCCCTCTGTGTGTATTACAGGCATAATCACGAGCTCTACCATTTGCTTTAGAAGTCAAGGCAGCGTATAACAAACCCTGACACAGCTCAGCATCTGCCTGTAGGAGTCCCAACACACACCAGCATGCAGAATATAACTGGGGTGGCAAACTTCCTTCCCTGGGACCTGTCAGCAATAAATGCATCGTGTCCCCAAAGCCACACGCTGATGGCAAAGGCGAGGGTCCCCCAGCCCACCTGCAACCTCCTATCAATTAAGAAGGCACCAAGCACATCAAATCCATTTCACTAAAATCAGCGGAGATTTCAAGGCACGAAGCCTTGAACCAGGCGAGAAGCAGCTCCTTGCAATACCAACAGAAGCCACAGCTGAAGAGAAACAGCAGCAGAGAAGCGAAAACAATATCCTCATGCTCAGAGCTACATGTTCATGTCCTGGAAGTTGTTGGCTACTTCCTAATGGTATTAAATACTATTAACTTCTGCTGATAAGTAGATGTCAAAGGCATTTAGCATCTTGTAGGGTCAGGCCTACCGGCAGATGGTTGAGGAAAAGGCTATGGGCGAACATGGCAGAGAGGAAGGGAAATAAGTGAGAGAGGAGAGGGGTAGAATTGCCCTGAGTTTTATCCTCTACAAATAAGTCAGGGGTTTTATCATCTAGCACTGAAGGAGTTAAGCACTAAAGCACAGACACTTAATCAGCTTTCCCCCTTCCTTTCACATGTGATTGGAATGAAGCTGCACCGAAGCAGCCCAAAGGGCTTATAACAGCTCAATTTCGCAGCCTTCAGTTTTAATCCCCATCACCCAGGCTAAGCAGAATGGTGGTGCTGAGGCTGCTACTCCACAGCAGTCTGAGCACCTGGATGATGATGGTCTTCCTCCTCCTCTTCCTCCTCCTCTGCAGTCTGCAGGTGGCTGGAGAGCTCCTGGATCACAGCAGCCTTACCAATCTGGTCATTTCGCCTCTTCTCCATGATCAGATCCTCCAGGCTCTGAAACTCCAGCGTGTGGCTGCGCTTGTCACCCAGACGGATCTGCAATCGGTAGGGCTGCTTGCCTATGCGCAGCTCCCCGCCGATTTTAAACTCTCGCTTGCCGTATCGGCACCAGGCAGCAAAACACTCAGAGTTTCTCCAGCTCAAGTCCCGATCCTTGCAACCCACCTGCTCCAGGGCATTGCGCACCACCACGGCCGGGCTGAGGGGTTTGTAGCGGTACAGCTGGTTGGCAATGCGGCCCCGTCTGCCCTGGCTGGCATCGGTGAGGAAGCTGTTCACCACCTCCAGCCGATGCAGGTGCACAACTTGAAAATCCCCGACATAGACCACCCAGTGCGGATACTGGGCTTGGCACACAAACTCCACCAGGTCGCCTGGTTTACACCTATTCAGCAGGTTCTCTGGGGTGTAGGTGCTCAGGTGCCCCCCACCTCCTTCATCACCCTCCTCGAGCTGTGTGTCCTCTGAAAAGCTCTTCTGGTAAATACACTCGTCCCGATAATAGACTGAGCACTCCACCTCGTGCAGCTGGGGATCGTAGGGCTGCAGGGCAGGGTTCTCACCCCCCAGGTCATGCACCGAATCCTGCTGCTGCTCCAGCTCATCATCGTCATTCGAAAAGATGTAGGAGACCCCGATCCTGGGCCCTTCATCTCTGTCCATACCTGTCGGGTCGGCCGTGGGAACTTCCTTGTAGTTGAGATGGGTCAGCTTCTCCACCTGGTTCCCCATGCCCGCTGCAAAGACAGACACACGGCGGGGCCATGAGGGCGGGCGCGGGTGAGCGGCTCCCAGAGAAGCAGCGCGGGCACAAACGCGGTTCCCCCCGCTCAGCGCAGCCTCGAGCAGCGCCCCGGGGAACGGGGGGACACGGGGACACGACACTTCCCTACCTGCACGGAGGAAGGCGCGGCGGCACCACCACCTGTTAGGCGGCGGCGAGGAGGAGGAGAGAGGAGCAGGAGCCGCCGGGGAGCGGGCGGGCACCGAGCCACCTGTTAGAGAGGGGCTGCGAGCGCCTGGGGAGGTGGGGAGGTCCGAGCTGGGGACCGCAGAGAGCGCACCCCCCCCCCCCCCGCCGCCCAGGTGAGCCGCGCCGGGCCGCCGGCCAGGTGCGCCTCCCCCGCCCTCCCCCGGCACCGGGCGGCCGCGAACTTACCCCGCGGGGCCGGCGGCTGCGCGGCGCCGGGAGCGGCTCAGGGCGAGCGGGCGGCGGGGCGGCGGCGCGGCTGGATCATGGCCCCGGCCCGGCTGCTGCTGCTCCCCGCGCAGCTCCTGCTGCTCCCCGCGCAGCGGCAGCGCCCGAGCGCCGCGCCGCCGGCTCCGCGGCTGGGCATGAGCGCCGGAGGGGCACGGCTGAGGGGAGGGAGGGAGGCTGGATCCGCCGCGGACGCCCCAGCAAGCGCTCAGCCCCCAGCATTTAAAGAGGCAGCTCTTTTTTTCTAGCTTTTTTTTTACCTTTTTTTTTTTTTTTTTTTCCTTCCTCCCCTCACCCTCCTCCCCCTCCTTCCCCCCCGGCTTCCTCCCCCTCACCTCCCCGCCCCGCACCTTTTCCCTCTCTTCGCTCCTACATGCCAAGCGCTTTGCTCCCGCCGAGGCCGGTGGCAGGCGGAGGTCGGGCGCGGGGCTGCCGGCGCCGCCGCTGCGCAGCTCTGCGCGGGCAGCGCGCTCAGCCCCGGCTCGCACAGGCGCGGCGCCTTTAAGGGAGCGCTGCCACAGCAGCCCAGCCCGCCGGTGTGCTCGGGGGGAGGCTCCGCTGCCGGAGTTTGCCCGGGACGGCGCCGAGAGGCGAAGCGGAGCCTCGCTCGGTGCCCGCGCAGAGGCGCGGAGCTGCCCCGGGGGAGCGCCGGGAGTGCCTCCCTGGGGCCGCGCTCCGGCACAGGGAAGTTGTAAAGTGAACACAATCAAAGCGCCTGGTTCTCCTGGGCTGACTTAGCGCCTTCGATTCCTCCTTGCGCGGAGTGTGTAATTAGGTTTATTAATTTATTTCCTTTCCGACTACAAGAGCTCAGTCTCTTTTTCAATATAGAAGATTGTGATTCTTTCTCCCCTGGAAAGGCATTATGAGACGTGGTGGGAATATTTTGCTTTCTGTGTTTTGGAGAACACAAAACAATATTTTGCTTTTTCATTAATGCCTAGTTAGTGTGCTAGGTGGGTTTATTTTTCACACTATTTTAACATACACTGGTAAATTCCCGCTGTTAAAATAGACTACAGAGATAATTTATGGGATGTAGGAGTAATGTCTTTAATTTTGTCTCATTTATTCCCTTTGTCTGTTGTCTTGTAATTTACGAGCCCAACTGCAACTGCTGTTCTGAGTATCCACTAAATAGGTGCAAATGAAGGAACAATTATAGTGTTACCAGGGCCCTGGGCACTGCCCACAGGCTCAAAGAACACGATTTCCATCAGATTCTACATCTCTGTGGTTTCAAATATAGACCTGCCCTTTGGGGTGGGAAGAATTGCTCCATCCATGACTGGGGAGATAAGCACTGCTTGGGGTGGTGGGGCATTGCAAGCAATTGCAGCAGTGACAGACAGCCAGATCAGGACCTTTTTGTTTTGGATTCAGCTGGCGGCTATGTCCATGGGAGCATTTTTGAAATGAACCTCCCAAATACCCAGCCCTGACACACAAGCACTTTGGTTTGCATGCCAGTGTATTTTCAAACAGTGCCCGTGTTTCTCTCACATCCCACCAAACTAGATGTGCTCTTGCGGCAGGATTGGACCAAGGCTAGTTGAGCAAATGTCCAAAACGAATTGAATGTAGATGTGATTTCTAGGCACTGCATGTTTCCCTCTGCAGTTCCTCTCCTCTATAGCGGCTCTTGGACAAAAGAGGGCCATGCTTCATAATCAGAGCATTGTGAAATTGCTTCGCTAATTAAAGATGGGCATGTGTGAAAGTGAGAGTATCCTAAAAGGAGGTGCTAAACTGAACATAGAAATTATTTTCTGATGTTCTCCTATTTCCACTGGAAGCTTTGTCTCAGCACTGTATCTTACTATCTCTGGACCAGTTATACTTTGTTAAAATATTTGGCAGCCCTGTGTTCAAGGCCAGATTTCTTTCTGAATCTCCTGCAATGTATGGAAAGATGTGTCTGTGTATGAGTGGAAACTCAGTATGGTCCAGGCAGTTACTTGTGTGTTTGTGCACATCCACAAAGATTTACAGCTCTCTGTCATGTTTCCTCTTTTTCTTGTCTGTTTCAATTCATCTCACTGCTTAATTTTCTGTACCTTTTCTGCTGCTTAACCTCTTTGATCTCTTTGAGTTTCCTTGCCATGACTGCTCCATGGAATCCATATTGTCTGTTCAATCAGCTCTTCTCTAGGGTAAGAAACCATTGGTTAAGTATTTTTTTATTGTAAACCACATCCATAATGGCTTACTGCACACATAGGTAAGGATTTGGGTGGAAAATCCACAAAGAATTTACAGTCCCTATATATCACTTTGACTAGTGCCTAAAATTATGATGCTTAAAACTTTTTCACGCTTAACCTCTAAGCCTCAAAGCAGCTGTGCTTGCACACATACTGAAGTCAACAGGGAAGCCCACACTGTTAAATATGATACCTCCCTGGCATCACTCTCAGGTTCCAGTCATTTGCTTGTTCATACTGCAGAAGTATTTCTTCTTTGTAAATTCTGTTTTGGAGAGAATGCTCCACCCCAGCCAAAACACAGCTTTGCTTCTGGAGTGGGCTCCTTCCAGCATCTCCTTTGCCTGAGTCCCCACAAAGCTGCAAGGAAGCAGGGTTCAATCTACGTGAGATCTGTCTCGCTCAGCTCTACAAGAGCCCTCCAGCATTTTCACAGCTGAATTTCACATCCATATGCTCTCAATCTATTGTTGAATGCAGCAACACATATCTACAGGTTCCTGAAATAAAAATACCATTCTCTGGGTCTCAGTATGGGTTTTATGGTATTTGATATGCCAGAAACTTTGATAGCCTCTTTTAAGGCAAAAATAATTGCCATACTGGAGGGCTCTCTGGGAAGCCAAAACTGCTTGGCCATATAGTCCATTGGTGTATACAGAGGGGACTGCTCCTCTTGGCTTAGAGGCTGTGGGACATCTATGGAGCAAGTGACTTCTATTAATCTATGTAGCTGCTATGATCCAGGGGCCTTTGTAGTGCTAGTTGCTTAAAACTAAAGCAAATTTTGAGAATTAGATGTAACAGTTATTTTGTTGTCCTTATTGTATATCATCTTGTTGCTCCAATTGGAAACTTAGACAAATTTTACATCCAGAGATTGAAAAGGTGATGTTGATTTGAAATCACATTTCATCCTCACTTGGGTATGAAGTGCTGTGGTCACACTGTTATTGCTATTAAAAGATACCCAGGATGAGAAAAAAAGTTTTGTTGTGTGTTTATTTTTTTCTTAGCAGAAAGCGTTCTCTTGCTTCTGAGTAAGATAAGGTTTAGTGTCATATTCTGTAGCACATTCTGTTTCACAGGTATTCAGCCAGCTGATGGCTATGACACCCTTGAATTATTTAATAGCTTCCATTTATTTTTTTGTGGTAGAGTTTTATGAGAACTGAGATAAACTATGCTCCATTTGGCGTGCAAGTACTCTACATCACAGACCTAGTGAACCACAGTGCTTAAACACCATGGTGGAATTAGGGGCACTGGAGAAATAAACCACTTCCTAGTGAAGTCCATGGAAGTTCTTCCATGGAATTCTGTAGAAATCAATCATGCCCTTAAATGACCTGAGAGTCACTTGGTGGATGGTGTCCTTCCATGACAGCCATAACTAAGTCCTCTAAGGATATTTGGATTCAGAATTGTAGCATTTCTTTTGTGACTTTTTTGTCCTCCAGAGGAAGCTGCATCCCCGAGTAAGGCACCAAGGTCCTATAAGACCAGGAATGCCACCTAAAATGAGATTCATAAACCTGGCATGGCAGTGGTAGCTGGTAGGGAATGGGACAGAGAGTTAATGTCTTGACAGCTGTTAGAATATGGTGCTTCCTTTCACTTGTGCCACACAAATACTCTCCCAAGGTTGAGTGCTTTAATGAGCTTGGATTTTCTCACACACAAGAGGAAATGGTGCTACGTCAGTTAATAAAAACATTAATATTTAAGATTGCTTCTTTGGTGTATGAAAGACCAAGGTTGAAGTCTCTTATCTCACTGAAGGAATTTGAACTGATATCTCCCAGGAGGGTACTGAAAGCCACTAGACTGTAAGCTCTTTTTGAGCAAGTCTTTCTCTGTCCCACTGAAGCTGTTCAGCTTTGTATAGGCTCATTAAATACCCATTCAATCTGTCTGAAAGAAAAGAAAATAAAAGAATGACAACATCTCTTAGATCAGATGCAGGAGGGGGATGAGAGTGCTTTGAGGTCCTCTCTAATGAATATTCAGATGTCTCACAATCATGCAATATCTTCACCAGGAGCTGTTCAGACAGACCCACCAGAAAGATCTGAAAGTTTTGGGTTTAGGATGTCATGAGAGAGTTTTCTTCATGTCTACCCCGGAAGAGACTGGACCTCTGAGTCTCACATATCCTGCATGACTGGTGTAACCCAGATGCCATTAGATATCAGCTCCTCTTGGTTTCTGCTGTTTTAGAGCCAAGCCATACTGCTATCTCTGCTGGCCCAGGCCTCATGAATGCAGAGAGAGGTTATGATATGAGTTTGGGCTTCTGTGGGAAATATCTTGGCACTACTTGGTGGTTCTGCTTGTGTCTCCAGGAGAAATATCAGGAATTTTGAGAACCAGAAAATTTATATACCTCAAAATGTTGAAAATACATAGTAGAATGTTGGTATTTCTGAACCTTGAGTTTCATATTTGACATAACATGAGACAATGAGCCTCTGGTGTCAGGAAGGTTTTATCTGCATTTAGCCTATAAATCTTTGATTATATCATAAAGAGTTTGACATATGTGCTTCTACACATATGATCTTTGCTATTTCTTATAGTGTAGCATGGCTTACCATATATTTTAAAAATGAAAGCTAGAAAAACTGCAGATAGGAAAGAGACTCACATCAGAGAGCAAATTGGTTTTTTTTTGAAGCTCTTACTGGAAGCTTATGGCTCTGTTACCTACTTCCAACACTGTAATTTGTGACTAAATGTGATCTGTGGCAAAATAAATTGCCGAGATTGCCAAAGCTACAGGTTTTTAACTGAGACATCCAAGCTGTATCTCAGAAGCTCTTGCACTGTGAGTTTTTAATTGGTGCATTTCAGCAAATGAAAACAAAATAATTCATATGTCAGTAGGGGCCTGGATTCATAGGAATTGCTATCAAACCAACTTGAGCAGCAGGAAAAGCTTAATTAAAATGTGGTCCGTATTTTTTTTTACCAGAAAATAGAAACTATATTTCAAACACAACAAGTAAGGAGGTACGGCACAGACATCTTTCCAGCATGAGAACTACTCATCCCTCGCAACTCTCATCTGTCTCATGCTGAGATTCTGCCCTGGAAGCTCCTCCTGTGATGTGCCTTTTAGCACGTCACAGGGCTGCTGGCTGCCTTGGTAGCACAGCGTGTCCCTGCAGCTGGCAAGGGGTGGGACTGGATGGAAGGAGCTTCTGATGA